TAGAGTGATGCGTGTGGGATATCCAGGGTGATCCAGTGTATGTGAACAGTGAGATGTTTGGGCGCTGAAGTCGCCATAGCCAATTGAGAGTGAACGCGTATCTGAAAGCCATATCTCTGAGTTTTGAGTGGGCGCATGTCGCCAGTGTGCTGCGTTACTGTTTACATGTGTGAAAAGTGTGTTTGAAAACGAGTCTGATTGCAATAGTCATCCAATCTGTTGTTCCTCGTCCGATTCCTCCGTCCTGTAGTTATTACCCATTCTTTATTCATTACCCAAAACAGGCCTGACATATCATTCGGAGAAGGTACCGGTGCTACAGATCTGATGCTATCCAGGGCCAGCTTGTTCCAGGCGCTGTCCGGATTCATCAATAGTTTGATAATCCATTTTATTTGCAGGGCTTTCGTTTCTGTTCCGGGGTCAATAATCCCCAGGCCTCCATTTCGTGGCCTCCTTGTAACGTAGTGCCAGGCTATCTTAGAAATACCCTTTTCTTTGTTGGTATCTCCCGTCCAAAGGTAGAGCCTGGCTTTTCTGTTCAGCTCCTTGATCGAGCTGTCGGGTACTGTCCAGATGGACGCCATGTACCACATCGTTGAGAAGACCGATGTATCGAGGATCAGTGCCCGGCCAATAAGGGACGTGAAGATGTTGCCCCACCTTCCGATCTTATTAATCTGTTTAGCGAGCATGGCTGGGATTCTTATTATAATTTGAGGAAAAAAAATAAAAACAATACCGGATTAAAAAAAAAAAAAAAGGTTGTACGGGCCCCTAGCGTACGAGTCCAGGAGTATGACTCGTACTCGTACGAGGGTGCGTACAAGTGGCAACGTAGCGACCCGCCCCTCTTCGGGAGTTACAACATCGGGTCTTGGAACCCACCACCAATCCAGTGCGAACCAACCATGCAACCACATGAGCTAACGGACAGGAAGTTTTCTATATGCTGCAAGCACACATCAAGCAAATGAATTGGTGCTGCACTTCCTGCTCAACCACGCAAAGGTGGGAGTCTGAGGACCAACTGGGCACTAACTAGTGGAGGATGGTCATATCACCTCCACTAGCTGGGCCTACGCAGATGGGGCGGGGAACTAAAACAAAATGGACGACACACATATATTCTTGGGAAATGGTCCAAACTAAAACACAAGAAAAAGAAGTGGCGTCTGTCAGCAATCGCAGCACTTACCACACCAGGAAACAGGTCCGACATGATTCCTTCAAACAGAGGGATATCATGGTTCAGGAACTTAGGGAGATTAACATCTCTGATCGCACGGAGGACAAGTACTGCTTCATCATCATCTTTATATCGACGCTTTAGATTCCCCGCAGCACGCAGAACTGCAACAACTGCTCTCATGCCATAGTCGTAATGGTCCTGCAGGAGAAGAAACAAAAAAGAAGCCAAAACAAAATGCCATCGAGTCATTAATAAAGTAACTGAATAAATCTGTCCTCTCGGGGACACCTGCTCAAACCAGAACGACACAAAGAAGCGTCCCATGAATGAACCCTGTTCAAGGATGACACACACATAAATAAAGAAAGAGATGGTCCCCCCCCCAAAAAAAAAGAAAAAAAGTTGCTGAATAAATGAGGATTTTCAGCGAAACGTATTGTCGTTGGGAGGCCACAGTTCCTTCCTTCCTTGCTGGTCTGGCTCTCCTACCAACCTCTGAATGGATGCCTCCTTCCTGAGCAAGGAAGCAACTGCCTCCATTATGAAGAGGAAAATTGGCGCTGCCAGGGGGTTCCCCTGCCAGACTGATCTTGCCATCTAGGACTTGAACCCCTCTGATAGGTGGCCATTGACCTGACCCCTGATGAGGGCTGGCTGGCAACCAGCCGAAACGCGGCGTAGGGTCGCGCTATGTTACCGGTCGAATAGCAGGTTTATGGCATTGGTTTGATACTATGTTCAATCAAAATTATATGTAAGGGACGCTGGACCCGTTTTCCAGCAGGTGCTGCTCCCCACCAATATATCGGAGCTATGAAAAAAAAAAAAAAAAAAAAAAAAAAGGAACTGGCTCTGTCAGGAAATTGTCCACTGATTTGGCACGAAGCCGGTGACATGATGGGTGTTGTTTAATGTTAATCTTTGACCCATCAAGGGTCGCGTTCGGGAGAGCTACCGCGTTGACTTCTTGATCTTTCTTCTTCCTCTCTTTCTCGTCTTTTGAGCTTCTCTTGTGATGATGTCATGTATCTGCTTTGTGTGGTCTGACGAATCGAGCATAGTGTTGTGCTAATTACAATTACCATTGACCTGCACCTGGCCGTGAGCGTCATTGCACAGGACTCTTTATCCATTTCCTGAAGTTACCTGACACAGTGCCTTTTTTTCTTTTTCTTTTTCTTTTTTGAAATTACCTGACACAGTGCTAATCCGAGCATCAGACTCTTCATTCGCGGCACTAACAAGGGCGATGCAGACCTTCCAGCTGGCTTTGGAATTGAAAATGGACTGGCCAAAAACGCTGGGATGGTGCCTGTTCGAGAGGTACAGGTGGAAGGTCCTAGCTCAGACATCAACCCGGAAGACATGCAATTGGTGAAGTCTCAGTAACCTCTGAGGTACCTGGGCATCAAGGTTACGCAGGCAGGCCCACACCACTCTCTGGCACCGGAAATTTTGTCAAGGATGATAGCAAAGTTGGACACGTAGTCGCCAATGTACACGCCGGTATTTGGGAGAGGGCGTTAATTTTAAGTGCCTCGTTTTTTTTTATGCTTTGGTACGCAGGCACAATATGGAACCCACCAGCGCAGACTGCGGCGGAGCTAAGGAGGGCGACGACATGTTTACAGACAGCGGATCCTTCCAGGCACCACTACATATCCAAGGTAGTCTGGAAGTATGTGACCTTGAAAAAAAAGAGAAGGGAGGGCTAGGTATCATTGACCCGGAGCAGCAGCTCAAGGCTCTACGAACCAAGTGTATAATTAAGCTCCTCAAAAAAAATCCAGCTCTGCCGTGGGTGCCCTCTTTTTGCGCCGGAGCGAATCAGGAAGCTGGCCAGATACAGTCTTCTGGCGAATGTGCAAGGACGGGGTGGACAAAAAGAGGTAGAGAAGAGAGTGGGGTGAAAGCACCTACTGGAGTCGATTACTCAGACTGTGGAAAGAAAAAATCTTCCCAGCCAGGGTCCAGGAACCGAGTACAAGGGAGGAGGTGCTAAGGCAACCTCTGTTCCGCAACCACTGGATTAAAGATAACCAGGGGAAACCCCGCGAAACCTTTTTTTTTTTTTTTTTTTTTTTTTAAACACAACCACCGAGAATCTTGTTGACCCAGGACTCCAAATGGGGAACATGGGGCCGAGCATGGAGTACGGCAGGTGAAACACCTTTGGTCGGACGAAAAGTAGCAGTGGAAGACAGCGAAGGAACTAAGAGAACAGTGAAAAGGGGGTCACAGACTTTTAAAAGACCTCAATGATTGATGCACTCATATCAATATCGGAGAAATGGACGGTACTGGTGACCAAGCAAGGGAGCCCAATGGGGGTACAGGGACTGGGGCAGGTGGCTGCGCGAGGGAACACCGACCGAAGCCCCACATACAAAAGGTAGAAGGCCCAGGGGGGCCCCTGGCTGTGCTAAGAAACATACACAATCACACAGCCAGGGGCCACGACTAGTAGAGACCGGACAAGGACTCGAGAACGTCCTCCAGGGCTGGTCAGGGAAGAAAAGATCAGGAAGGTAAGGGGTGGCGGAGACGGAGGAGTTTGCCGTTTATGAGCCTACAACAACAGTGTAGGACCTAGAATGATTTGACCCTCCCAACAGAATGGGGTTGGAATATGAGGGGAGGGGAGTACTTATAGGTTAGCTAGAAGAATAAACATCCTGGAGTACACAACGCGTCTCGGCTACCACCTCAGAAAGCGACCCTCCCAGCTTGAGGAGGAAACACCAAGCAAGCGTCGGTCGGACAACATGCGGATATACCACAGTCCCAAGTACCAAACCTACCCTGGAACAAACTGAGCTCGATAAAGCTGGGTAGGGTCAGAAAAGTATGCAATGGCTGATCCTATGCGTCACTGTCCCGGTAAACAAGTGGCTGAATGAGCAGAGGGGCAAGGAACACAGGGATCTGCCTCCAGAAGGAGGAATTCGTAGTCTGCAACGGGGTATGCAACAGAAAACAATGGCCCACTGTCTGCTAACCTACCAAGAGGCTCAATCTTTTTCCTTTCTTTTTTTTTTTTTTTTTTTTTTTTTTACCTTTCCCTTGGGTAATGCTAGGGGTGCTGGTAGGAGCAGGGCTCAATCAATGTGGGATTTTGTGAAGTCTATTTGGAATTTTGGAGTGAGGTGGCAACCTCGCCCTTCCCACAGGACACAATCAACCTGCTAATTGGAAAGTTCTCTTCTCTCTCCTCCAAGATCCTGGCAGGGCGGAGAGAGAAGAGAACTTTCCAATTACTAAAGGCAGTATGCCTTGTGGACCATATGGAAGAGAAGATGCCAGGGGACAATTGAAAAAAAAAACAATGCACAGGCAGGAGGCGAGCTGTATCTTGCTAAAATTAATGGAGACAAATCATACTTGCAGCGCACTGGTGCGGTGCGGTGCGCCCTGCGGAATGCGTGCGGTGACATTGCACGCGCACGAGGTGCTCCGTGCGCGCAGCGCATGGAGGCGCGCTACTGTGCAAGGGTGCGCACTGTGCGCCATACCTTTTTTCGGCTTGTGTGCGTGTGTGTGTGTGTGTGTGTGTGTGTGTGTGTGTGTG